ATAGGGTGGGCCTTATAGGGTGGACCTGGTGGCCGCTCTTCCCTAGATGACATCAACCATCCACCACTGCAGTCGATCAACTACTAGTGCTAGTATTCCTCATTTGGCAGTTTTCAAAAGAAAGCTGCTTATCTGCTAAATAAAGGCTTGTAGGCTTATGTCCAAAATCCAGTTAAGCATTATGAACCAGATTAATGCATTCAGTAGTGCGGTTTTCTGTGTTTGGATGTGCAGTTATTTCAGATTCCCCCACCTCCACCCCCCGGCATTTTGTCAATAGGAAAAGCCAGACTATACATGTAGCCAAATTTAAAGTTTTAAACAAACAAACATTTCATTCTTTACTTGACCGTAGTGATTTGTACGACTGTCTCAAGCTTTATTGTTCACGGCTTTTGAAAAAGTAATAAAATTATTTAAAACAAACAAACAAAATTAAGCTTAGAAACTAAACCTAACTAAGCATGAGTGGGTGAGGTTTGATTTTTTATGAGCCATGTCAACAACCTACAACTCTGAATGCATGTAATCATTATGATTAGTGCTTAATCTCTTTAGTGGAGTCTTTGAAGGAGAGGGGAGCTCTGCAAAGATGAGGTTTACTTTGGGACAATAAAACGTGCAGGCAGGAGAGGAGATCGAGGTCTGACATGACACTTCGGCTATGCATGTTTCCTCTTTGCATTGCCCTTTCTTTTTGCCCATTGTTTTCCACTTGATCATTCAAGCAGATACACCTCTCATGAAAGCTGTGATTTAGCAGAAGCCCTCCCCAGAGATGAGTGATTGTCCTTTTAGTGTCAGTGCTGTGTTACCAAGTGAAGCTGTGCAGTGTGTGTTGCATGCCTTGTCTTCAGCTCCTGAACTAGAACACATTCCTCAGGAGGGGAACACAATGTATTTCGCACATTTTCAGGAATTGGGTCAATATCTTGGGGTAGGTGGAGCTAGTCTATTGGAACAATGCATGTTTACCCTTTTAAGGAAAGAAAAAGAGCACATTGCTTTTTTTAAAAAAGCTTCTCATTCCGCACAGATTGGTACTCTAGCAGTGTGATACCAAAGAGGGTTACACCTTTCTATGCCCATTGACTTTAATGGACTTGGAAGGTTGTAACTTCGCTTAGGATTTCAATCTAATAGACTGCTCCCAAGCTTCAAGCCAGGGAAGGACGAACACACGCAATGGTGAGCAGGATCGTGCTTGCTGGCTGTTCCCCTGGTTTTGACATGCATTAAGTGGTAAAAAAACCACTGTTGTGTATAAGTGAATGTGTACAGATCTTGTAGATGGAATTTGGATACTGATATTACCAGGGTTCCCAATCTTGCAGGCAAAGGACTTCACATAGATACTTATAAATGTATAGGCTCTTGCTCCCTTGTTATATGGAATGCAAGTTGGAATGGGTGTGGAGCCAGAGGGTATAATTCCTCTCCTGCCTTTGTATATTCACACTCCTCAGGTTGTAATTTGTGAACTGTTCTGAAGGCTCCCTCCCAACTAGGAAGGAGTAGAAGGCATTTGTCATGGGAAAAGTGGAGACCACTCTCCATCCTTGATATGTTCAGCTCCAGCTCCTTCTGGAGTCAGGCAAATGAGTTCTGACAAAAGGTCCTACATTCTAGAAGCTGCTGCTGCTTATTACCCATATTCCATCTAGCATAAGCTTTTCCACCATCACTGTGACCTGTTAAATTTTGTATAACACATATGAATCCTGTCCACCTTCTAAGCATCTCAGGGTAGTGTGTTGCCTTTCTTCCATTCTTTAAACAGCTCTGAGGGAAACAGAAGGCCTGTATTACTACATGGAACCTATCAACTCTGCTTTTGCTTTCAGCATACATGATGGATGCCACGGGCCTTGTTGTTAGTATATCCAGTGGAGGCTCAAGCCATCATGTAGGCTACTGCAGGAGGAGGATGGTTGGAAAGGACTAAGAAAATTATATAGGCTAGTTGCTTATTTTCTTTCTTCTTCAGACCTTATTTGGCTATATGCTGGTTTAGGTTTGAAAACTGAAAGGAAGGATAACAAAGCACTTGTGGACACAGTGAAAGAGAAGTTATGGACCCTGCAATTTTTGAGGCCAACCTGTTCTTCAGTTTGGCCAGTATTAGGCTGGCTGGCTGTCCTTGAGGTTGTGGGATCATTTGGCTTAATTTGCAGAGGAAGATGGGTTGGCCAGAGGCTTCATGACATTTATTTGGCCCGACTTTTGAGTAGCAATATTCATTATGTGGAATTTTGTAGCAACTTTTGGAAAAGGTCAAGGAATTTTTTAAGGGAAGAGGAATTTCTCCTCTAGTTTAAGCAGAGGCTGATAATTTGGTGGCTCTCCCCAGTGTTATTCCCACCAGCTGATACCAAACCCTGAGAGGGGTGTTGGAAAGTATACTGAACTTCCCCTTTGGAGGAGTAAATGGAATAATAAGGTATCCAGCACAGGGAATCTGTGAATGGAATTGTCTAGCCAGGAGTAATGAGAGCCCGTAATAGTTTTCCATGTGATACCTGCAGCTATCGTGTCATTATGTGAAAGAAATTGCTAGGACGGATCCAAGTTACTACAGGCATCTCTGCAATCTAATAATGACTGATAAAAGAGATTGAGATTACCACTGGGGCAATTATTCTGTTAAAAAACTGAATCCTGCAGAAAGGTCTGTTATCCCCTAGATGACTGCAGTGTGCCATCAGTAAAATTCTGTGCCCAGCTCCACTCTGTGAGGAAGGAGAGGGGCAGTATGAGAGTGATGAGGAGAAAAGCAGAGGAGATATTAAAATGTGGGTAGGGAAGACTATCTCAATCCTTTCATGTTTTTATTTGCTGTTTTGACATCTGTGCACTTATCCATCTTGGTCAAGTCCAGACAATTTTTATTGAAATGGCAGTGGGCAGCATGAGGGGCTGTGCACCCCCACCCTCTCAACTCTAGGCTTCTCACATACACATCTACTTGGCTTGGTTAGCTAGGGTCCTCCTTGAGGAATAGGAACGCCTTTCAGATACATTTCTTCTCTTGTCCCCATTCTCTTCCCCATGATCCATCCTGTCACCATTAGATGATGCAACACCGCATCACCACTTGACTTCGAGACCCGCCACGACGACCAAAATTGGTGAGCTCCCCCTCCTATTCTGATCTACTTTAACCACTGGCTATGAGGGGAATGGACAGTGGGATTTAGGCTCTGCCCTGCACATGGTGGCATTTGGCTCTTATCACAGTGGACTAGAGAAAGAAAGTGGTGAGTGTGCAGTGGAGAAGGGTGGGGAGGGGATGAGCATGCCTGTGCAAATGTGGGGGGAATTGGATGGATTGAACCACTAGTATTTCTACTTTATGTTCTGAAACTTGGGCAGGGTGCTCCTTTGCTTAGCAGCGTTTGATATATTCCTAAGACCTCCCTCTGTCAAGTATATGGAACACATCTTGGGTGAGCTCACATACTAGGTTTATCATGTGTAAATTGCAGCTGTCATTTTAACTACCTGAATGTGTGAAAATGCTATTATCATGGATCATATTTCCGCATCACCTCTGCGGTTGCCTTAGAAGGATGGGAAAGTAGACAGAAGGAAGGAGAAATGTCAATCATAGGTTTTCACTGTCCCTTAAACTAATTGTGTGAACTCACCCTTGATTGTACGGGGGGGGGAGGATTGGCAATTATTGTTAGAGTCCATTCGGACTACAGATGCAATTTCCCGGCTTTCGTGGGGGTGGAAGGATTAGGAGGAAACAGAATTCTGAGATCCCAAGGAACTCAATTACCTTCATTATGTGTCACTGTTTACTTTCTGTTCTTCAGAGGTAGGATCAGCAAGTCATCGTGGTCCTAGGCCAAATTTGGCTTCCTGGGTATATACCATCTGCCTTCCTCCCCAAAGGCAGAAAGGTGTGTGCAGGGAAGGGATGGCTATAGACCATCGTACATCCTGGCAATTCCCTTTGGAAACTGCCCTGTAGTTCTGGCTCTTGCTCTTAAAGTGCCCCTCCAGTAAATCTAGGAGCTGACCATGGCTTCATTGAGGCAGGTCTCATTGGGGGTCTCACTTGAACTAGTAGACCTGAGTCTAGGCTTGACTGCTTCGCATTGCAGGTAGGCATTCTCATGACTGAATCTTCCACCATACAAACTCCCCCCCCCCAAAAAAACCCTGGACTTAGGCTGTCAGGGAAAAGGCTGTGTTAGTCCCTTTCTCCCTGATACCAAGCTATCTGTGTGGAGGGAATAGTCTTGTATAGGATTGGATAGTCGTGGAAGTCCCCACCTGCAATTTGAAGTAATTAATGTTGGGTATAAGTTTGCCACCGCAACATAGAGTTATTTGTATGCATTGATGCAATATTGAAACAATATCTCTTTCACGGTAAGTATAATCCAAATATTGCACATTTTTAAAAGAACACAAAATTTCTTCTGAACTATATTTTGTCCTCCCCAGCTGTTATAAGTTTCAAGGAACCATATACATATTCATCTCTTAGCACCTATCTGTCTTTCTTCATCTTTTGCTGATTCACTGGACAGGGCTTGTTTTCAGCTCTGTTCATTTAAGGATCCAGGTTTTCTTTGTTCTGCTGCGGGCTGAAACCCAGGGAGGCTTTGATGATCTGTTTTGGCAATAAACACTCCCCAGTTTCTAAAATGAGATACAAAGAATTGACTATTAAGTTTGGGGTGAGATCAAGGCTTGGGATAAAGGTGTTCCTGAATGTGCTTATGTTTACAGAAACAGGAGTGAAGGTCTGGATCCGTTGCTTTATTCTCCAGGCTTATTATTATTTGTAACACACTAAGACAGCCCTTTATGGCATGGCATTTTTTCCCCATTCAGCCTCCACAGTTGTCATCACCACCATCTTCAGGAACATGTTGTGCTTTTCAGTCCATTCTGGCCAAGAAACAGCACAGAAGAGCTGCTTTTTTTTAATGAAAAAGGGACTGTATTCCTGGCAATAATAATGTTCACCCCCCTTCACTTAGGACGACAGTTAACGATCTTCAACACCCAGGCGAAAATAGCCATTGGAGGAAAAGACAGAGGGCGTCTCTTTCAAGGCCAGCTCTCCGGTCTCTATTACAATGGCTTGAAAGTGTTGAACATGGCGGCAGAGAACAACCCCAACATCAAGATCAACGGAAGTGTCCGGCTCGTTGGTGAAGTACCATCCATCGTGGGAACAGCACCCACAACCTCCATGCCCCCAGAGATGTCAACTACAGTCATGGAAACCACCACTACTATGGCCACAACTACAACCCGAAAAAATCGTTCCACTCCCACCATTCAGGTGAGTCACTTGCTTTATATTCAACTGCTCTTTCATGTGTTTGTTTTTTCAAACATATTTTCTAGGTCTAGTTCTTTCCTAATTCACACGCAGTTTGGCTCCTCAGATATGGAGGGAATATGGATTGTTACTGTGTATGCAGTAGTGAGGTCGAGGGCATCTGTGATACTGCTGAAAACTTACTTTAAGTTAGCAAATGTTTGTAGCCATATGAAGACCAGAATTTGAATGATGAATTGCAATATAAAGGGAATAATCAATATGGGAGATTTCAAAAATCTATCAAAATAATGCTAATATTGCTTATTTTGTGTTTTTCTTTGTTGCCAAATGTGTTCCTTGCCAAATTCTTGATTGTAGAGTTCAATGTGATTCCCTGCTTTTGGCTAAATAACATTAGAAAAGGAAACGTGGGCATCCATGGGTCATTCCATCAGAGGCATTTGAAATCTTGGTGGCTTTTTTTCTGACTACAGCTTCATTAAGCCTTTTAAGGTCTGCACAAACCTTCAAAATGTATTTTCAATGATTACAGATGGAAACAAATCTACAGATCAAATGTAATTGCTTTGATGAAGGAGCAGTGGCAGCTTATGTTCTTGTCTTAGTACAAATGATTGTTCTGCGAAGTAATTATGGATCGCCTGATCTATTTTCTTTGCCCACACTGAGTAGAAAAGACAGGCCAACAGGCATTGTTCAGCAAGCTTCAAATGCAGGTCTTTTAAAGCTTGTCAACTTCTTGTTCTGGTTTGTGTAAAAAAACAACACGTAATCTTGTGGAGTTATTACTGGTAATGTTGTTTATTGTTTCTTATTGGTGGTGGAGGAAAATGCTATCAAGTCATAGCTGACTTATGGCAACCCTGTAGGGTTTTCAATGCAAGAGACATTCAGAGGTTGTTTGCAGTTTCCTGCCTCTGCACAGCAACCCTGAACTTCCTTGATGGTCTCCCATCCAAATACTAACCAAGGCCAACCCTGCTTAGCTTCTGAAAACTCTCAACATCAGGACAGCTTAATGGTCTGATTACACTATGAATTTCCATGCTAAGCCACAGATAATTTTCCTGTTTCTTTCACTCCCACCTCACTCCACATGGGGTAATAAAGGAATGTTGGTTCCAAAAAATCCCTGACACCTCAGCAGTACAGGCCTATGTCAAGCCACTGGCTTGGATCCCTTGGAGGATTTCTGCAGATGGGAAGAGGGGCCATTTTCACAAGTTCTCCCTTCCTGCTACAGGCTTCCTGCTCCCCCTGCATACTGTTTCTGGGTGTCCTTTTGGATGTAGCCAGATGGGAGAGGCAAGAAAAATCCACTCTACTGGTGAAAGTAGAGGAAATTAACTGTGAGATCCAAGCAATAATTATCACCTCCCTTGTCTTGGAAAAGATGCCCCTCAAACTGGCAAAAATGTTCACTATCGCCACTACCACCCTTCTGGTTTGCCCCAGCTCTGGCTCTTTTGCATTCTAAAATCCTAAATGACTGTGAATCAGTCACAATTATTAAAATTAATTATATTGCATTGTGGGGTTTATGTAAAAGGTTAAAATCACCCATCTCATTTCTGTTACGAATGCACAAGTGGAAACCTGCAAGGAGTTGCAGGCTGAATTTCCCTCTTCCCTACTATTTCTTGTTTCCCTTCCTTGAAAGCCCCCATAGCCTCTCCCCCTTTCCTGCCTCCTCCTTCCCATCCATCATTCAACCTACCTTTATCTTTTCCCCATCTTCAGTTTTCTGCCCTACCCTACTCTGGTACCCTCTACCCAGGAAAACTATGGGCAAATTACATGATACCAGTTGCCAGGGTGGACCCAGTTGCACAGTTGCACCTGCGAGGATTTGCAAAGGGCACCATTTCCCCCATCTCAATTTCCCCACACTATTTCCTCTTTCACTCCGTGTGTGTGTGTGTGTGTGTGTGTGTGTGTGTGTGTGCATGTTAAGTGCTGTCACGTCACTTCTGATTTACAGCGACCCTAGGAGCCAGTTTGGTGTAGTGGTTAAGTGTGCGGACTCTAATCTGGGAGAACCGGGTTTGATTCCCCACTCCTCCACTTGCACCTGCTGGAGGACCTTTGGCAAGCCATAGTTCTGGCACAGCTGTTCTTGAAAAAGAGCAGTTTCTGTCAGAGCTCTCTCAGCTCCACCTACCTCACAGGGTGTCTATTGTGGGGAGGGGAAGGGAAAGGAGTTTGTAAGCCGCTCTGAGACACCTTTGGGTAGTGAAGGGTAGGGTATAAATCCAATCTCTTCTTCTTCTCTATGAATTATCATTAGCAGCCTTGCTCAGGTCTTACAAACTGAGGATAGTGGCTTTCTTTGTTGAGTCAATCCATTTCATGCTGGGTCTCCCCCTTTTCCTGCTGCCTTCAACTTTTCCTAGCATTATTGTCTTTTCCAGTGTCTTGTCTTCTTGTAATGTGACCAAAGTATGATAGCCTCAGTTTAGTCAGTTTAGTTAATCTGGTCTAGAACCCACTTATTGTCTTTTTGGCGGTCCACGCTATATGTAAAACTCTCCTCCAACACCACCTTTTAAATTAATCAACTTTCTTCCTGTTAGCTTTCTTCATTGTCCAGATTTCATACCCATACATAGTAATGGGAAATACCACAGCATGATGAGACAATCCCTCCACCTGGCAACCCCCATATCCCCAACCTTCTCTGCTTCCTTCTCTCCCTCCCACTCACCCATATTTCACCTGCCACTCCATCATCAACTATATTTATTATTTAGAACAGGGGTGGACTGGGAGAGAAGAACCCTGGGAAAGGGTCCCCCATCCTGCCCTGGCCCAAGCCCCAAGGGATAGAGGAAGAGGTGAAGAGGCAGTCTATCTGATGGAATGGAAGGAGGGAGGAAGAGGCAGCCTGTCTAACCAGTTAGCCAGGTACTGCTTTCCTTACCTCAGCCATGTCTTGGGCAGGCCAGGAACTGCTTTCTTCATCTTTGCTGGGCACCTGCCTCACTTTGCATAGGGCTCGGCTGGGCGGAGCTGGGTACTGCCCTCTGCCTTGCTCTGCATGGGGCTTAGCCACAAACTGCTCTGTAATTTGCCTCACCTTTCACAGGGCTCAGCTGAGCTACCTGCATGCCCGTTGCCTGTTCTGGCTTCATGCTGGTCTTGACTGTGTGCTGCATTTCTGCCTCAACTTGTCTCATTCAGGGCTTTTCCAGGTGCCACCCTTGGCCTCACTTCACCTAATGCAGGGCTGGATGCTGAGCTGGCCTGGATGCTGCCCTCTGCCTCACCTTGCATGGGGCCCAGCCAGGCTGAGTACCACTGTCTGCCTCACCTCACTTTGCATGGGGTTTGACTGGCTTGGATGATGCCATCCGTTTTGCTTTGTATAGGGCTTGGTGCCATTCTGGGCATCACCTCGCAGAGGGATTGGCTGGGCACCAGTGTCTGCCTTGCCTCAAGTGGACAGAGCCAGGGACTGCCACCTCTTCCATCTTGCCACTCACGCAGGGCTCCAGTGAGCTGCGCTCTGTCTCTCATGCATCTCCTCAGGCTGGCTGAGCACCGCCTCTCCCGCTTTGCACAAGGCTTGGGTGGGTCTGGCTCAGTGGTGGCGGCTACAAGCATGGACGGCTTCAAAAGGGAATTAGATAAGCATATGGAGCAGAGGTCCATCAGTGGCTATTAGCCACAAGGTATAGATAGGGACTCTGGGGCAAGTGATGCTCTGTCATCTTGGTGCTTGGGGGGGGTCAACAGTGGGAGGGCTTCTAATGTCCTGGCCCCACTGGTGGACCTCCTGATGGCACTGGTATTTCTGGCCACTGTGTGATACAGAGTGTTGGACTGGATGGGCCTTTGGCCTGATCCAACATTGGCATCTCTTATGTTCTTATGTATGGTCAGAGAACTGGCCATTCCAGGAGTGGGTAGAAGGCCACTGGATCTCTTGGAGGCATCCCAGTGTTCTTATTAGTCAATCGTGGACCTGGGAACAGTCCTGGAAAGAGCCCTGTCTCCCCCTGCTGCCTTTTACTGACAGAAACCAAGCCTTTTGAAGTTGCCTAGCAACAGTAATTGAGACCATCCACTTCTTATAGCTACAGGTGCTTCTTTTATCATTTGGGGTTTTTATAACACCCACTTTTTTGTTTTGTTTTTGTTTTTTGAGATTTCAGATTTTTCTGCCAACCTGGACCATTTTTCAGGTTTGTAGAAAAATCTGTCTGGTCTGTTCATAGATCCAGTCTCTGGATTTAAATATCCTTAGATTTGGGTGACTTGGCTATTGAAATATAAAATATGAAGGATGTGGGAACCTACAAGGAGTTGTGGGAGGCATCTCATTTTCCCCACCCCACTATTTCCTCTTTTCCTTTCCTGAAAGCCCCCAGAGCCTCTGATCACTGCCATTTGGAGAGCAGTTGTACTTCTGGGTGATTTCCAACCCCACATGGAGGTTAGTAACCCTAGTTCCCATGGAGGAAATGGCTGTTTTGGAGCATGGCATCTAAGGCATTATACCTTTCTGAGGTCCCTCCCCTCCTCAAACCCCGCCATTCTCAGGCTCTTCCCCAAATCTTTAGGAATTTCCTAACCTGGAGTTGGCAACCGTATATCTGTCCCACACAAAAGCCAAGCTACATTTATCTGCCCCTCTGGCTCAAGCTGCCCCTGCCCCTTGCAGCCACTACCTAGGAAAACCATGGCCCAAATGTGTGGTGCCAGCCACTGGTCCAGGCCCACTTGCATGGTAGGGAACCCTCAAGGAATTGGGGAGGGGTTGCCTCACTTTCCCCTGTACCTCCCTCCCCACACTGTCATCTTTCCTTCACCCTGGCAATCTCCATATCATCTCCCCTTTATCTGTTTCATTCTCTCCTTCTTAGCCATTCACCATCCTACCTTTCATTTGCCTCACATCTTCAGCTATAGTTATTACTTATTTACTTCATTTATATCCCACCTTTCTCCACGGTGGGGACCAAAGCAGCTTATAGTATTCTCCTCTCCTCCTTTAT